TGCCCAGGTGGGGGTGACTGATGCCCCATGTTGTGAGCAACTCCAGCCTTCTACTAAAAAATGAGAGGAATTTTACAATCCAACTCTTGTACACTCAAATCTGAAAATGTGGAGCTGGGTGGTATTGCCTGGAGTACGGTGGTCATACAGGAGAAACCAGCACAAACAAATATCTTTGGAAATATAGCCATGAAGAACATTGAGTGGAGGACTTCCCGTTGGATCTGGGACCCTTGCAGATGTCGATTTAGACCCAAAAAGTCTATAATTTGCTGGGAAAGTTAGCTTTCAAGGCTCTAAATTGCTTCTCGGAGACCCGCAGATATTGACAGGAAATCATCCAGTGTATCCTAAGCACCTGAGTCATTCAAAAAATGTATCAAGGGAGGAAAACCTCTGGCTTGGAATTAAAGAATTATTGAAATCAAATTGGTGTAATCTGTACAACAAATTTTGGCTTAAAAATGAGTCTGCTATTTTTTTAACAATTATAGAAGGGAGAAGGGACCATGCCACTTCATGAAGATGATCTGCAGAGATGGAGAACTAGTAAGTGCAGTATGTTGTCTCATCAGATGTGATATTTGAAGCCCTAATAATATATTGTCTAGTTAATCAAGTTTTGTTGGATTCAAGAGATTTCTTGTGTTCAACAGTCTTCTTGTGTTCAATTTAATTGATGAACGCGCACAAATGAACATGACAAATGGAGAGAATGCTTAAAATTATACGATCTATAGGGTCTAATGTTTTTGATAAAGTAAAAATGAGGAAGAAGATTTGGCACACAAAAAGACGAGACAAATTAACCAGAATAATAGAACTTTTGTTGTTCAATTGTAGATTCACTGAATGGTCTAGTTTGAATTCGTAAACTGGGTTCTTGATAGTTATCGCAGTCGAGATGATCATCAAAGTTTCGTTTGAGATCCTGACAGCGGAGAGGAGCCAAATGAGACGATTTGTTTCCATCACCAGTGACTTTACAAACTTTCGCCCAATGCCACCATTTATCCTGCTCCTCGGTTTTTCTAAGTTCTAGACATGAAGATAGGGGATCGTGGGATGACGATATGCTGGATCGGTTGAGTCGATTTAATCTCGGCATTGATTTCGTGAAACCAGCGGGAGGTTGTGAGGAGATCGAGACTGAGAAAGGATTGGAGACTGTTCGTATACATGCATAAGTATCGTTTGGAGTGTCCCGAGGGGTTGTGTAAGAGGGCTCTACTATTGGAGTATGGGCGTAAGAGCATTGAGATGGTGGAAACATGAGATCTTGAGGGATGGCGGGTGGGACGGGAGGCATGGATGATTTCAGGTTGAGGCGTTGGAAAGATAATAATGGTTGATAGTCCTCATCGTCGCTGCATGGTTCACTGTGATGCTGAACTCGAGAACTACGGAATGGCTGCTTGTTTTTGGGACGAAGACCGGAAGCATTGAAAGAGATTGAGGCGGGGACGGGTGAGCCGGCACGGGTGCTGCGAAGTTTGCGCCGCTTTTCCCGCGTGGGTGTTAGAGGCTTGTTGAGTTTGGGTGAATAATCTGAGGTGGAGGTGGGGGTTGATTGAGACGAACTGGGGGCGGAGATGGTTGTAGATTGAAGTTGAGGAATCGACAACAGGGGTGGACGAAGGACAGAATTATTGGGTCGAGTGTAATTGGGGAAAGTGGTGGCAGTCGCAGCTGGCGTATCAGAGAAGCGCGGCGGAGGTTGATGCGAGACGATGGACTGTGGAGCATGTGTGGAGATTAGGCCACACATGGCGTCACAAAAAAAAATCATAGAGTGAGCAAATCAAATAAATAATCAATGCAGTGGTTCGATAATGATCTCAAGGAGGGTAGCATTAGTGATGTAATCCCAAGTATGGGAAAGAGGGGGTCTTAAGAGGTGAGGGACAAATACAAGGAAAATAGAGCAGAAAATGTTCAAGACGCGAGATCAAGTTGAACTGTAAGGTAGATGTGGTGGTTCAACTTTCCAGCCCACAGGGGGTCGATAGTAGTCTCAATATGCTGAGCCCGGTAAGATAGGTAACTGAGGGACAAAGTCAACCAAGTGGAGGAGGAGGGGCATTGGGGAGAAAATACAGACTTGAAGGCTAATTAATCATAGCAGGCGACCTACCATATTGTTAAGGTCAAATTGATGATGGGCTATCTTCGTCATTCAAACTAGCAAATCTCATCCACCAGAACAATGAAGTGCGGTAGGGGGAGGTTTTGATGAGAGTGGATGGTAGAAAAGGTCTTTGTAAAAGGAGCTGAAGTTTGGTTTTTGAGGAAGTTAAGATAACTTGATCCTGAAAGACAAGTTTTTTTTATTTGAGTTTGGACTTGGTGATGACTGTATTTTGGGCCTTTGTGTGAAAAAAATGGAATGAATCTGTGAGCGGCCGCACCGCGGGAGCCTTGGACTCGAGGAATCGACCCTGGGTGGCTCCTGTGCGTGGCCCTTAAGCCCCTGAAGCTGCTCACGGGGGGCTTGATGCTGTCAAACCTAATAGGTTTTACTTATAGTGCATAGCCTGGGCCAGGTTACCCAGAATTGTCAGACCGCTTGTTGTGAACGACGTGCCATGACAACAGATGACAACTCTATGACCTGCTTTTTATGAATTCAAACATGTCATCCTATGTCATCTGTAACTGGAAGGGACTTGCATATGGTTCAACTGTGGCAAGGATAGGAACATGACTTGTCACACAACCTTTGTTGATTTGCATCCATCCATGCTTGCTTAAGCTAAATCTGTGATGTTATTTCATAAATTCCTTCCCGTTAGCTGAGTGAAGTCCCAGTGGACGACTTCCCGTCAACATCTTCAGGTCTCCCAGTTTCCATTTAGAGCCGCAAAAGCTAGATTTCCCTGCGAAAATCTAGACTTTTCGGGTCTAAATCAAAAACTGTGAGGGTCCCAGATCCGACAGGAAGTCCTCCAGTGTAGGACTTCCCATTGGATCTGGGACCCTGCAGAAGTTGATCTAGACCCGAAAATTCTTGATTCTTGCAGAGAAATTTGATTTTTGAGGCTCTAAACCGGCTCTGGGAGACCTGCAGATGTTGACGGGAAGTCGTCCAGTGATTCAAAGGGTGTATATATTTTTGTGCCAAGGATGAGCATGATGTGCATTGTGATCTGTCTTCAGTGCATGTATGTATGTAGTTCAACCTGCGGAGATGTGGCATATTGGTTCTGACAAGGGACTGTGCAATTCTTTATTTGAATCAGCTGATGTTCTTTTCCTCATTCTTGGGCCAGCCTTCCCACCCTTAAGTATTCTGATTTTTTTGTTCTTTTGTCCCTTTGAGATGCATATTCCTGCAAGCTTCACTTTCATTTAACACTCTGCATAAGCATCTTCTTCAGACTCATAATCATGTAATACTTCACATGCATGCCTTCTCAACTCAGCCGAAATATCTGTGAGCTTCAGCATGAATTTAAAATATACCCCTGTTTTTGCGAGAGCAGAAGTAGGGGGAGAGGGGCACACTGCAATTCTAGAGCCACTTTTGATGTGTCTATCCACAATGAACGTGAGGAATCTGTCTTTTGTACTCCATTCAATCAGCACAACTTGAAGACTTTATGGAACAGTTTTCTGATGTACGAGCAAAAAAGGCTTCAACCCTTTCATGACATTGCAATGTGAATTCCCCAGATAGAACCACCTTTTATGGAGATTGACAATGGAAAAGCTGAAACAAAGGATCACACATGAAACCAAAGTAACTTGACCCCCACAATAAACAACAGCATTACCATGGTATTGGTGTGATCAACAGCTTTAGGCAAAGTTTAATACAAGGCAGTACCCAAACATTAGTGGCTTATGGTTACAGATCAGAAAAAATCCAATATCCAGTCTTAAAAAATTGTAGTAATTTGTTAATACCCTTTAATATTGCAATCAGGTATTGAAAAAATTGTAGTATTTTGTTAATACCTTTTAATATTGCAATCAGGGGTTGATTTGTAATACACTATAATCATAACAGACAATAAGTTTGATCAAAACAGGGAAAGCTTAGCCTCAAGCTTACATGTTTAGATTTTTGCCTTACTTGGTACAAAAGGGGACCTATTTGAGGTTAAGGGATCCTGTGCAGTTCACCCCCTTTGTAAGACATATCTGGCAATAGGCCCACCTGCCCCACTTCCTTTGTTTATCTCAGGCTCTCAGCTTGAGATTGCAAAAAACAATAATGTGAATCCACATGTCATTTGTAGATATATCAGGAGACCAAATATTTATAAAGTTACAAAAAATCTAAAGTATACATAGCGGCATGAACTTGCCCAGTCCAAAACTTACTCTTAAAAACAGATCCAGACTTGATGACAAGATCTGCATCCGTCAAAATCAGATGAAGATGCATGGCTCAAGAGGCCAGAAACACAGGATTGGTCCTTCAACATTCCATTTCCGGGAAACTAGTGATCAAAGGAAATCAAAAAGATTAAACACAAAAAGGACGAATAGGAAGCTGAAATCTTGCTTATGTTGAGAAGGACAATACAAGAAGGGTGACTAATATACATGTAGTACAATGGATGATGTGGCTCGTTTGGCTGTATATACGGAGAATTTCGAGACGATCTGTGGGTCCAAATTGATCCCTCAGCTTTCAAAGTTTTGATTGTTGAACAATCATGCGAGCCATTCCATGAATGATCTCTTCGGCGTCTCTTTCGCATTCACGAATGAACGATTCGCCTGATGATCCACATGCCATCAAAAGAGTTAATGACCAAGATGAATGTGCGGAGTAATGAATAACCGAAAAGGAAGAACAAATACCCACAAGACTGGATTTTCGTGAGCAGTCCTACACTGATCCCACATGTCCATACACCCGCATTCACATCCCCATCCTCATAAACCTTTTTCCCTCGTGCACCAGAGACGAGCTAGAATTGACATTGTGAGAAGTCAGATTGAGGCCCAGCAGATAGATAGGCCGTTGACAAATCTGAATACGCACATGAGCAATGTCCTTAAATTCGCACCCACCAGGCCGGTTTTCAATCTTGACTACTTCCATGGCCACATCGTTTTTATACACTCGCGCAGTGTTCTTTAGGGTGCGGAAGATGTGAATCGTATTTCGTTCGTCCGCCTTGATCATTGCATCCTTGATATTCTGATGGATCTCTGCCTCTTCAGTAACCATGAAGGCGGTGCCCATATTCACCCCTGCAGCCCCCAAGGCAATCGCTCCCGCTAACTTCAAACCGCGCATCATCATCAATTAATACGAGGGTCAAGAAGTCAAAAGCTACACCAAAGAAAAAGGACACACCCCTCTGCCATTGGCGAAACCACCGGAGGCGATGAATGGTACTCTGAGCTCTTGAGCAGCTCGAGCCAGCTGTAGTTTTAGATGAAAGACGACAACAAAGGATCCCGATTTGAGGTTTTTGTCAAGGGAAGAACAGTTCGAAGCAAGCCCATATGATAGAATACTGACCAGAACAACCCCACCAATGTCATCCTCACCAGGGTGACCAGCGCATTCAAAACCGTCGATAGAGAGCATATTGGCGCCGATCTTGACGGCACTGTTAGCATGTCGGACGCTGGTACATTTATGTATGACATAAATATCTGCTTTGCGAAGCATCTGGATGATTGGAGAGGCGCTTGGTCCACCGGCAGTTTCACAAACCTTGATCCCCTCGTCGATGATCACTTGGGCAAACTCGGAATATGGAGGCGGGTTGATCGATGGTAGGAACGTCAGGTTCACTCCGAACGGCTTCGAGGTCATCTTCCGTGTGTCTCGGATCGCTTGTCTCAGCGCTTCGGGCGTCGGTTGGGTGAGGCCGGTGAGGATGCCCAATCCACCTGCGTTCGACACGGCTGCTACTAGCTTGGGCAGACCGACCCTGATCGATAATGGATAGTAGCTATCAGCTCTTCTCTTGAGTCTCCTTCTCGAAAATCATGAACATGTAATTACCACATCATCCCACCTGCCAAAAAGGAGAGGAGAAAGTAAATTAATTACATTGCCACTACCAACGTAAGAGATATAAGTCAGGAAATTGAAATTTTGCAAACCTTGGACGATAGGGACCCGGATCCCAAGTGCAGCGGTCAAGGCAGTCTGGATAGTCATTGAGTCTTGGAGTTGTTATGCGAGCTATATGTCCTTGGGTTTGATGTGAACCAGAGTGAATCGAGAGCCTATTCGGAAACTAGATCTTGGACCGCGCCCTTGCCGATCTGTTATGTGAGCTGGATCAGGGATGGTATGGATGTGGATGAGCTGCAAGTGATGAAGGATCGTTAACACGTGGTAAACTGAAAGGGTCGAGGTTTCCAGCAATCTGGTCTGCTGTTTTCCTCACTTGCCTCACGCGGGAGAGCTCTGGGCGGGCCCGTGGCCTCCAGAACAGGCTAGGCCCACCCAGAAAGCTGCAGCACCGGGGAAGCGGCGGGCCCAGCTGCGCCCACCCCGTGCGCGCACTAGCCTCAGTTCAGAGGAGACACTCACAGACCAATAACTCTTGATCTATCAGTCCAATTGAGATGCTTCGAGCTTCTCAACATATTTGAACAAATATTCCATCCCTTGGATGGCAGTGAAAGTACAGGAGCAAGCCAGCAGAATATCATAGAATATATCCTAAGGGACTTGAGCTCAATCATCAAACTGGTTGAAAAATGAGATTTTTAAAGGTCTGATTGTGATGTATTTAGATATAATTGCTCCCTGGACTAGCTCTGTTGAGTTTTCACCTCTCTGGCCTACTCTTCCCCAAAATCACCTCCTCTTTTCCTTATCTTTTGTCCTTTTTTTTCATGAATCATCTTGAATTAGACTGAACTGTAGTCTTTCCCTGCTGGTTTTTTGTTGAATCGTATGCATTTTTTGTAGTATAATTAGAACTATCCATAGCAATTTTCCCAACAACTCCTGTCTTTAAGATTGATTCCTTTCATCTTCTATTTCACTATTTGATTCCAAAAAGCTAATTATTTGGAATTAACACCTCCAAAATTTTTCTTCTACACAGAAAATGGAAACAAGGAGAGAGAACCCAAAGACTGGTACTGATCCCAATGTAAGCTCCCAAAAGCCAAAATGGCCAGACATTGACGTTTTACACCTTCTAGTATTTGGTATTGGACTTTTAGAGTGTACACCCTCTAGCAACTAGTGTTGATTATTACTGACCAGTATTGGTCACTTATTTTGTGACTGGTGCTGGTGATCAATAGTGTACAATGTCTAGGAATTGTATGTTGGGGGTATGGGGAAAGCGGGGAGGAAGGTACCAGTCATTGTGCCTCTGTATTGGCCATCTCTCTAGCAACCTGCACCAGTGATTGAGAGTGTACAGTGTACACTATTTGGATATTGGGTCCTGTAGGAGTGGAGGATTTCCTGTAAAATCTGAGAGTCACCAGTGGTTCTTTTTTGGCCACATGTATGTATTTGGATGTCTAACAAAATTCATACCTAAATCCATGACTATGGGGTTTAACAATGTATCTTCATGGGGCTATACCTCTCAGATGTTGGAAGCTAGGACTGGGTTACCAGTCAGACTCACGTACCCACCCGCTAAAGTGGCACATGGCATTGTACTGTACAAGGTTTTGCAATGTCCAAAAGGTCAGGGCCCAAAACTTGTTTTTTTTTGTGATTTTTGCCTGTTTTTGGGGGGTTGAGACGTAAATCCGGTGTCACAGCTGCTGTAATTGACCGGTGAAACACACTTCAAGCTCAAGTTTTATGGGTTTTGGCTGACAGTTGGCCATGTGAGTATGGGGATGGGATACCTGTTCTAACCCATAAATATGAACTAAGACACCCATACACAGACCTGAGTCCCAAATGCTTGAGTGAAAAAAATTTTTTTGGCCGGGACAAAATGTTTCCCCACTTAGAGATGGGATATCACACACACCTGTAGACTCTCAAAACACACACATAACACAGTGCTGGACACACATATCGGTCACAGTTAAACCGCGCAACAGAACAAGTGTGTGTGCAGCCTGTACAGTGCAATGCCGTGCCCCACAGCCCTGTAGCCCTCTCTAGAGCATGTATATAACTAGTCTAGATCATCCTATTCACATGCAATGTTACACACACTTGTGCTTTCTGAGTTTCACTATCCATTATCAGACTCATCTATCATACCTCTAGTGTCTATCCAATGTATTAGTGAATGCTCTACAGTTTGTTTCAGACATTTGAAGGCTAAAAAAGAGCCCAAAAGTCTGAAAAAATCTTGTTTTTTGGCTCACAAATCTAGACATCCAAAAAACCCTGGGTTGGTCTATGTCATATGCAACTGTATGTTGCGATCTTTTGCAAGCATTAGTCAACGGTGCAACAGAGATGATACAATACAGTATCAGGCGTTTATCTGTATCAACGCTGGGCCGCTACGCTAAAGGGCCACTTAGCGTTAGCATAGCGGCGCTAAAACGGGCCCTTTTTTCTGTAGTGTTAGTGTGCCGCTCCCGCCACTACGCTACGCTATGCTGTAGCCCCGCTAACAGGTGGCTTGTTTCTGGGTAGTGTTGGCGCATTGCTACAGCCGCTACGCTGTGTTACGCTGCGCTACAGCGCTTTTAGCGGCAAAAAAGGCAAAAAACCCGCTAAAAAGCGCTGTAGCGCGGCGTAACGGGCACTTTTTTGTGCCCTGAGCGCGTAGCATTAGTGCAATTCCAACTTTCTGCGCTAATGTGAAGAAAAACAGGAATGATTACTGAAAATAGAACCAGAACTGGCAAAGGAGAAATAACAAGAGTTAATCATATGACACAAGAGTTGAAAATGATTTTGAGAAAACATAAAGATAAGAGATTGAAATTTACCACGGGCAGAGTTGTCTTTAGACTTAGACAGAACAGAAAGGCTGAAATAAATGATGTCAAACAATGACAGATAATAGACACTGTTTTAGAACAAGAGAAAGAAGATTAATGATTTGAATGTCAAGAGAAAAAAGAATTGTGAGTTGTTTTCTCACCAAATTGGCAGAAGCCAGGAGAACAGGTCAAGAGAGAGAGTCGGTGGTATAAGAAGAAGAGGTGGTTGGATAGACGTTGATAGGATGAGAGAGCGTCGACGTTGAGACTGAACAAGAAGTGAGAAGAGAGATAAGAAGTAGAGAAATAGCGATGAGAAGAAACGGAGTCGGACAAGGACGAGGAAGGGAATTGTGGATGAGGTTGGTAGTTGATGGGAGAGAGGATGAGGAAGTTGAGCAGTGGTGATTGGTGGAATTTAGTTGATAGACGACGGTTCGAGGACAGAATGTCGTAGACTGCTGAGTGGAGGGAAAGATGAGATCGAAGAGCGAGGCATGTTATTTATACTCGAGTGGTAGTCCGTTTGACTTGTGGTTGAGGATTGGTTGATTAGGGTTGTTTCTAAGTGATTGAGAAGTCGGAAGAGTCAGGAGGCGAGGCTTGAGTTGAGTCGGCGGAATCTGGAGACGAGGAGGAGTAGGTGTTTGATGGCGGTTTGTTTTAAGGAAGAGATAGGAAGAAAGAGATTGAGTGAGGAAGTATGAGAGGAGAGAATGAGAGCGGGAGCGCGGAAAGAATGCGGAGAGAGCGAGCGCAGAGAAAGCGACGAGAAAAGGAATTAGAAAAAGAGAAAAAGGAGAAAAGAGAAAGGGAAAATAAGGAGATAAGGATGAAATTCCAACATAATGCGCTTTTGTGCCCTTTGCGCGTAGCGTTAGCGCAGAAAGGTGGATTTTTTGCTAACGCTACGCTACAAAGTAGTGCTTTTCCGCTGCACTACACCACACTAACACTACGGTTAGTGTAGCTGGCCCAGCGTTGTCTGTATTGTCTCAGAGTTTGAATACCCAAAAATACCGGATTTGTGTTGTCTCACTTTCCTGAGACATACACATGTATTGTATTTGAAAAGTGAGAAATGTATTCTGTATCGTCTCAGATGACTGATCCCACCAAAACCGTATTTGATACATAAGATATTTGGCCGTATTGAAGAAAAAACGAAAAAACAAAGATATTTTTTTCATTTTTAAATCCAAATCCGATACAATGTATTTTTTCACCAACCAAGGAAATACTGATACCGGTATGAGGCTCAAAATAAATACGATACGATCGGATACAAATACATGTCTCGTATCTGTTGCACCGTTGCATTAGTGGTGTTGCTAAGACTGGCTTGGGTTACCATCATTGGTTTAGCAACTCATGATGGAGAGGGTCTGAGAATTTGAAAATTTGAATTGTCATTCTGTAAATGGTTCAATTTTGAATACCACTGGAGGACTTCCCGTCGGACTCGGAATCTGCAGGTCCCCCAGAACCGATCTGGAGCCCCAAAAACCAAATTCCCCTGCGAGAATCTAGAGTTTTCGAGTCTAGATTGACTTCTGCGAGGGCTCCAGTTTGCACGGGAAGTCCTCCACTATTGTTCTGTTTTTGTGCCCCACTCCCAGCATTTTTAGAAACACAATTCATAGGATGAGGCACTAAAAGAAGGCACCCAACATCCGCACAAGTCCCTTCAGGTGTGGCATCCTTTGAGGGCCTTCTGTTTTGTTTGAAGGCATCCCAAATTTAGCGAAATCCAACCTGGGTGCAAAACACCAGTCTACCTGCCTCCAAAGGAGAGATTTGATTGACCCTTTGAGACATGACATGAGGTTTCTGAATCTTGGCAGAAAATGTTACTTGATCAATGGATGACTTCCCGTCGCAATCTAGAACCCTCCCAGAATCCAATTTACACCCCCTAGATCTTAATTTTTGGCCCAAAAAAATATTTTTTTACAGGCCTTGTAGAAACCAGTCTCATGTGAGATGGTTGAAATTACAAGTGGGGTGTTAATTTAGGACTTGGGAGGGCTTAAAAAGCACTCTAAATGGCGACGGGAAGTCCTCCAATAACTTGTAAATCATATCTATCCGAAATTAACAGACACCATGAAGAAGGCATGTTTGTTGTCTCTTTCATTCACCAAAATTAGGGATTTCTGTACCCCTCCTTCGGGATCAGTAAGTCATCATTTTTGGATCAGGTCAACCTTTCCTGAAAAGAACGTTTACATTAATGTCAAAATTCATTCTAATAGATCTCCAATTGATGTTGCCATGATTATCTTGCCTGGCCCGACGGATAAATGCAGTCGTCATGAACGTTGCCCGGCTCGCCTGGAAGCCGAAGTCATAGCCCCTTTTTCGTTTTTAACTTTGGTAATTGAGGTAGAAGCAGTACGCCAGGACGGGCCGTTGTAGGGATCAGGCTCACAGAGTCGTGTCTTCAGTCTTCTACATTCAGAAATTACATCATTCCTTTCGAGGAGCCACATCCCCCATCCAAGTATACCGCCGCGGGAAACAGGGACAAGACCCCAAAATGATTTCCTTCATCTAACCCGCGTAGATCTGTTTAGAGGCAAAACACCCTTGGTCGTAGGGGGGAAGTCCCCACGTCCTGCCCACCGAGGCCCATACATATTGTAGCAAACCGCATCATCGCATCTATCTTCGTTTCAAGGGCCCTTCAGCTAGGTTGGAAATTGACCACGCACAAAAGTTAGTGATTTGTGTCGGTTCGGAGTTCCCGTGTTGTTCCTTCGATCACGTATTCCGAACTTCTTCCCAGAGTCGCTGACAACAAACCCGCATTCCCAGCCGCGCGCGTCTCATCAGCACACGGATGTACCCATCACGATCTTCCTCCAACCAAGAGGCCTGAGTTGTCAAGACGGGTCAGGGGACTTGGCTAATAAGGAACAAGTTGCATTTAAGATTGGCTGTCGACTCCAGTCTTGCCAGCACTTGCCAGCACCTCATCACCACCCCACCAGTATCAGCGATATTCTGTATCTTTTCCATCCATAGTGGACTTGGCGTATCTTGGCGTATCCTCAAAGATCCAAGTGAAGTCGCTTCCGTTGCCAGCATAATCCAATCCAGTTGCCACAGAAACCTTTCATCAACCACCAGTAGCTAACAGCCCCCGCTAGCGGTGCTGGTTTAATCAACCCGAGGCTAAAGGCAACGTAGGGTAAAGGCTGAAGGCTTGGCAAGACAGCCATTGTTAGTCTCCAGTAGGTTACCAACCTATAATCTATCTCGCAAAGACCTCATTTTTGATTATTGTATGATGGGACTAACACATTTGGCTACATTTTTGCTGTCTAGCTCATCGATATTAAAACGCATCTACATACACTTGAAGTATTAGCTTACTTCTGGTAGCAGCTGCAAACCCTCCTCAAACGAAAACTTTGAACAACGAAACCAGGTAGAAATCAGCTATGGAGTCCGGACCTACATCTAACCTTATGCCCGCCTCAATGGGCCACGTTTCTTTGAAAGTTTCCCCCACCCGTGGTCGACGTAACATCGCAAGGCTTTCCATCATGCGCCCACTACGGTTCAATATTTCTTCGCAAACCCGACCGCCGGACGGTCAGCAGGACAAGCTCGCCGGAGTTCGGGCAATCCGACCACCAGGGCCAACGGTATCTATTCGGCCGGCTAGCCTGCTCTATCGCGCCCCTACTGCGCTCCATGGTACCGCGTCGCACCTCTTGCGCCACATCCTTCGCGAATCGTCGCCCGCTCCCTCTCCAACGACTAAACCACCGCCGGGATCGCCTGTGAAGTTCCTCTCCTTACCCACTAGTAGGGGCGCTCGCCAACCCTATGGGCCTCTATTCCAGAATGACGCTATTTTGGACGGGTTCTTACTCAACAACGGGGGGTATCTGGATGATAGTGACTCGGAGTCCGAGGCGGAAGACCCATCCGATTGCGACACCCCCAACCCATCCGTTCTGAATCTCACTAAAAAATCTGCAGAGGGGCCCCAGTCACGATCTCTTTTCAAAGCCTCCATTGAATACTTTTAAGATCACCGCCTGGAATTTACTAAATAGAACCCTTTTTCGTGCATACAAATAGAACTTAGAAGCGAAGGATTCCTCACCTTAATTTTCACACTGTACCAGTTTCTTGCGTCGTCAATTTCTTTTCTTTTATCTATTGTGTTTGTTAGATGAGTGTAAATTATGGTATAAAAGAGCAGCTGTGAATATTAAGAATGCAGTCAGCTGCTTCCTGCTGCAATGGTAATTTGTGATTACATATAACTTTCCGTCATTCCGTTTCAATAAGAGCGGTTATGATATAGATCACTATATCAAAGATTGATAACATCTCGGAAATGGGGCTTGCAATCAATCACCAAGAGACCTCCGGACCGTGTTCCAACGATAAGTCAAAGTGATGTGACTTGTAGTGCGTAATGGAACTGATCGCGTCTAACCTGGCCCTCAATCAGAGGACATTTTGTTAACGCCCCCCCCCCCCCGCCCCGGCCCTCCAGAACGAGGGGATTGTGTTAACTAGTGATCAACAACACTCGCATTTTGTCCCTCATTGGACCAGATGAAAGGGCAACGTATCCTCCTGCGTGCTCTGATGGTGTAGCTTGAAGCAACCCTGATCAAAACGCAAGCTAAGTCACTCGACTTGTGAGGTCAGGTTATATATAGCTCCCAGACCTCCATGCGGGCCGGGTATTTTTGTAGTAAGTGGCGTGATCAATGTTAGTTGAGTGGCACTCGGATGCAATTCAAAAAGATGAAATTGAGCTTCCGTACGAAGGATTACTGCGAGTATTTTCATAACTAAGGAGTGTGCATTGTGTTTTTACCATTGAAAGAAAGACAGCGAAATCTTGCTCAGGAAGGAAAGTAAGAAAATAAGATGGATTTGAAAAGATGGAATGGAAATAAAAAGATGGAAAAGGTATTTTATGTGAAGCTAGTAATGTGTGGGTGGCAAACATGGAACACACACCCTTCGATGAGAATCAAAGTATAACCGGTAGCCCAAGAAGAGAAAGAGACAAAACAATACAGCAAAGTTCTTAAAAAAGGTACGTAATAGTCTAATCAACTCTTCAGAAATCCACGTGGACGGTCATTCCGGGTGGGCAGTTTTGCCATTGAACCGTACCTTCAGAGGACTGTCCCTCGGGCAAGATTGGAGACGGTTGAGAGAAATGTTTTTCAATTTCGAATGTTGCAGATCTGGAATGATGATGTTGAGTTATGGTTAATTTTTGGGCGGTGCGATTGATTGATGCAAATTTGAGAAGGCTTACTTTGGAAGTCGAGGATTTGATTGCATAGTGCAAGTTTTCAAATCCACCCAGAATTTGGCTGAGCATCGCTTGTCGTTGTTCACAAAAAGGGTCACTTGACGTTTCTCTGTGGCGCCGACTGGGAATTGAGCTTGCCACGGGTTGGTCTTCTGTTTCCAAAACTGCCAGTTGAAGCTTGCGGCCGCGTTCTTTCCGTTCGGTTGTTTCAAGGTGGCTGTGCATTCGGAACCCGGGAAACTGCCGCCTCGCTTGACGTGGGCTACGCTAGCCAAACCGAAGTCCAAGCCGATAAGGCCGATTAAGCATAGGAGCAGAACCTTGGCAGCGTGCATTGTGGATAGCGTGGGTCTGCAAATTCGATAAGAGAAGTTAACGAACAGGTCACGGTTGATTGGTTCAAACAACTATGATATGTTTTACCTTGAAGATAAATATTCGCAGAACAGACCGGCGGAATAGTATGGGCTAGTTGGTCGTCTTCCAATAAATAAGAAGAACAAGTAAAAGCTTTCACGCGAAAGTAGTAACTAATAAGTTTGGTATTATGAAGTAGAAACCTTGCTAGTTTTTTCAACGAAAGAAGTGTAAGCCGGATAAATATTTAGGAACTGGTGTGGGTGTTTTATTTGGTGGAGGGACTTGAGCGGATGACGGACAAACAGACTGCCTTCACGATGATCTTTTTATAATCTCTCAGAAGCATAGCACCAGTCCTGGACCCCTCATGTGCAATGCACGGGGAAAGGGTCCACCCGGCTTCGTTCCGTACTGATCAAAGACAGCCTCCGAGACTCAAGAAAGCCAAATTGGGACTTAATTCGAGCTAAGAATCATCTGGCTGGCCATCCCGCACGCTAACAAACGGTGCTTGGCGTCATTTAGGCAGCCGACGCAATTTATCTTGGACTATTCCTAAAGAATGTGTGGATAACGATAACAAGCATATCGAAAGCGTACTATATGAGGAGGAGACTAGAAATACATAGGTCGGCATTCGGGATGCTAAAGATGCGAATTTTGGACCGGCTAGTGTTATGCTGACGGAGACCTTCCTAGGCTCCTTCCTCTCGAGGAGCATCTGGATGGGGAATGGCTTTTTTCAATTCCTGCACCTGATACGGATACCTGTACGCTTTATGCGGCTATCAGGTATGCATGTATGTACCTGGATGAAGCCATCGGCCAAACATCTTGCTAGTCGAGCCTAACGAATCAAGCCTATGTTAAGAGCCAGCCGCCAGGGGCGGCGAGCGCCGCAGGGTCTATGTCTCAGGCCCAATCAGTACATGTTTTTATAGGGAGCATGTAGGCTCACTCACATGAAATTATGAATAGGTGCATTCCATGAATACACGTTTCTTTTTTGCATGCAGAAAGAGATTGGTTCACATCGCTAATTGCCCGATCAGCCTGTTGGTATGGCCTATTGCTACATTGCTGTTATGTATTTGCACAGATAGGTGATGTTAATGTTTGAAAGAGGCACAAAAATCCTCAACGCAAATGGATGCAAAATTCATCAGCAGTGAGACTAATAATTGACGAAAAAAGGATGCGGGCATGTAACGATTGGCGAGACTTAGTGCAGCCTTTGCCGCTAACTTCACTCAGTCCCTCTTTACCTCCTTCGGAGGGTCGCTTCGCGACGAAGGGGGACTTGCTAAGTTCGCCTTTGCCGTATGACAGAAAGCGCTAAAAACTCGAAGCCCGTGTGTTTGTTCAGTTGGTCAAACCACTGATGATAACATGTGAAGAATTTTCATGGCCTTCGATTCCTGGTTACAGTACTCCAGGAACTCATCCATCTCAGATCTTGAGCCTCCCTGTCGGTAGTTTTGAGGCCATGACTCTGATAGAGCCCACAACAAGGAAAAAAAATGCAACAAAAGTTCGGTTGGTAATGTGTTTTTGATTGCAGGATGGCCATCAATCAACTGATTAAGAGATTGATCATTGCACTAATACGCACTTGAAAAATCCTTCTCGGCAAGGAGAGAAACCAACTGGAAAGGGAACTTAAACAAGACATAAATCAAAAAAACAGATTTCTAGTTTACAATACCAAAAGAAATCATTTTGTTTGGAGCTCAAATAAGAATTGAAACATCAGTTCAAGCAATTTACTTGGAAAGTCTCAATGTCAGCTGGCCTTACTACTACTCTGATCTTCTGCTTGCAGAGCATTCGGCCACTCTGGCCCAATGGCAGCAAACTGAACAGTTGGGTCCAGCTAGTGGACCATAAGGCACGATTACTTTGCACAAGTGAATGATTTGCGGACCCTTTCACTGATGTTTGAGACGCCTTTTTAATCGGCCAATTTCTGGTGTGGATCCCACCAGATCCGAGCCGCCAAAATGCCAACTTTTTTTTTTTTTCACAAGAAACAAACCGAAATAGATGAAGAGATGACTGGATTTTTTTGACAAGATGTCTCTGACTCTACTCTAGACACTCAGATATCCCCCTCACAGATCATCATGCCCTTAAGTTTTTTGAAAAGCAACTAAGAAACTGAGAAACAAAAAAAAAAATCAGAATATGTGGTGGATGTTCCAGCTCTTATACATTTCTCCTATGTATCTTCCACAAAAAATATTTTGATATTTGTACCTCCTAGAGATGGTCGCGGATAATCTGCTGCGGATACCCGCCAGTGCCAGCGGATACCCGCCAGCGGGTGCGGATTCGGGTGCGGATGCCCTTTTCCCCCCAAAATCCTGGCGGATATCCGGGTATCCCAAGGGATACCCGGTGCCAACCTCGGCCTAGAGATCCCATGCCGCCAGGAGGAATGCCTCCCCACCAGCTGGTGCTCTCGTCGGGAGGAATCCCTCCTGACGAGCTGGTGTACATACCAGCTGGTGGGGAGGCATTCCTCCCGGCGAGCCGGATTTTAAACCAGCTCGTCAGGCGGAGTCCCTCCCGGCGAGCTGGTACAAAGACCAGCTCGTCGGAAGGGATTCCTTCCGACAAGCTGGTGCTCTTGTCGGTATAAGACTCAAAAGTGGTTGTGAAACCCTTTTGCTGAATTGAGAAGGGGATGATGGAGGTGCAAACTCTGCCCTTCTATACTATCAGAAACAAGACCCCCAAGCTTAGCTTGGAAAGTTTTAATAACGTGATAGGATTGGTTGGTTCCGGTAAAAACTTTGTTTGATGAAATGTGAAGGTTGAATATATAATTGCTTATAAAAGAAACTGTTATGTTGTGTAACAGGTGAAAGGTTTATATAATTGTTTGTAACTGGTGAGTTATATATTGACTGCTGAGTGATGAACTGAGTGAATGAGCTGGAATGAGGAGACAACAAATGGGGGGAAGAGAGCCTCCTTTTATAGACAAAAGTGAGGGAATTTAGCTCCAGGGCAGACAAGAAAGAGTGATTTTAGCTGGCCTGTAGGTACAAATGAGTGAATTTAGCTAGTCTGATCATGCAAGTGAGGGAAATTAACCAGTGAGGCTGTGTACAATTAATGTCAAAGGCTGTGCTGCGGTGTGTAAATAATGTGAGAAAGTGTCAAATGAGGCAATAAATTGTGGGAAAAATACAGCTGTTGTCATAAATGAGGTGAGAAAATCAATAAACTGTGGGAAAAGTAATTCAATCAAGACTGCGCAGCCTGCAAAGGCAGTGCATGAGGTGACAAATAGAACCAAACTAATTTATGCGGTGGAGATAAAGAGGTGTGGGAAATTATGTGTATACCGTGAGCTGTGTATAAGCATAAATGAGAGGTGATTTGAGAGTTGTGACATGTGCTTGACTGGTTGTTGGCCTTGTGATATGTGTCTGTAGGGGTGTAACTTCCAATCCATGAGTGTTCCAATGATGCGTCCAGTGGTGACCTAGGCTGAAATTGTCCGTAGAATCCATTTCTGAAGTTGTATTGGTGGATTTCTGAAAGAATATATGAGAAAAATGTATATAAAGAAAAAAAACCTGAAATTTTTACATATTTAATTACCACATCGGGAGGGAGTCGGACTCCTCCTGACAACCTGGTTTGAATCAACCTCGCCCGGGGAGGAACCCCTCTCGGACGAGCTGGTATGTTACACACTACACCAGCTCGCCGGGGAGGGATTTCCTCCCGGGCCGGCGTGGACTTCTCCTTCTCTTAGGC